CGCGAGGATCTTTCTTGGAACAAACTCAATCTAGGAGACTTGGAGTGGAAGTCAGAGAAGCAATGAGGCGGCCACGAGGCAGGAGGGCACGCGCCTCACCCTCGTGGGCCCCTCGTAGCTCCACTGACCTACTTCTTTCGCCTATATATACTCTTATACCCTGAAAACATCTAGGGGAGCCACGAAACCACTTTTCCACCGCCGCAACCTTCTATACCCATGAGATCCCATCTTGGGGCCTTTTCCGGCAATCTGCCGGAGGGGGATTCGATCACGGAGGGCTTCTACATCAACACCCTAGCCTCTCCGATGATGTGTGAGTAGTTTACCACAGACCTTCGGGTCCATAGTTATTAGCTAGATGGCTTCCTCTCTCTCTTTGGTTCTCAATACAAAGTTCTCCTCTATGTTCTTGGAGATCTATTCGATGTAATACTTTTTGCGGTGTGTTTGCCGACATCCGATGAATTGTGGGTTTATGATTAAGATTATCTATGAACAATATTTGGTTCTTCTCTGAATTCTTATATGCATGATTTGATATCTTTGCAAGTCTCTTCGAATTATCGGTTTAGTTTGGCCTACTAGATTGATCTTTCTTGCAATGGGAGAAGTGCTTAGCTTTGGGTTCAATCTTGCGGTGTCCTTTCCCAGTGACAGCAGGGGCAACAAGGCACGTATTGTATTGTTGCCATCGAGAATAAAAAGATGGGGTTTATATCATATTGCTTGAGTTTATCCCTCTACATCATGTCATCTTGCCTAATGTGTCACTATGTTCTTATGAACTTAATACTCTAGATGCATGCTGGATAGCGGTCGATGTGTGGAGTAATAGTAGTAGATGCAGAATCATTTCGGTCTACTTGACACGGACGTGATGCCTATGTTCATGATTATGCCTAGATATTCTCATAACTATGCGCTTTTCTATCAATTTCTCGGCAGTAATTTGTTCACCCACCGTAATATATGCTATCATGAGAGAAGCCACTAGTGAAACCTATGGCCCCCGGGTCTATTTTTACATCATATTAGTTTCCCGTCAGCTTGCCAATTTCTGTCGCCGTTTTTTTTGCAATCTTTACTTTCAATCTATACAACAAAAAGACCAAAAATATTTATCTTATTATATTTATCAGATCTCATTTTTGCAAGTGGCCTTGAAGGGATTTACAACCCCTTTATCGCGTTGGTAGCAAGGTTCTTGATTGTTTTGTGCGGGTACTAGGCGATTTGCGTGTAGTCTCCTACTGGATTGATACTGTGGTTCTCAAAAACTGAGGGAAATACTTACGCTACTTTGCTACATCACCCTTTCCTCTTCAACGGAAAACCAACGCATGCTCAAGAGGTAGCAATGTCTGGCGGAGTGGTGGTGTTGCTGCTGTCCTCGCCGGTTGTCGCGTAGATCAGCGCCACATGAGTGATGGCACCTGTGTTGCACAGTTGCTGGAGTTGAAGAGCGTTGATGACGAGCATGTTGAAGAGGTCGCCTCGTGCCCGCGGAGACGGACTGGCCCCATGGACGATGGAATCTCGATGAGCTTCGCGCACCAGTCGACGGTCATGGGACTATGCTCCTCGAGCCAGTCCATGCCCAGAATTGCGTCGTAGGTTCTGAGGGCCAGCACTTTCATGTCTGTTGTGAACTGGTGGCCTTGGGAGCACCATTGGCGCTGCGGCACACTGGCAGAGCAGGTGAGTGCTCCCCCGTTTGCCACGCGCACCTGGTACGCGCGTGGAAGTGGTTGGACGCCCTGGATGGCCGCGGCCAGTCGCTCGTTGATGAAGAACGTGGTGCTGCCGGAGTCCACAAGCATCAAAACTTCACGCCCTTGAATCCACACACGAAGCTGGGACGCCTTGTTAGATATGCCCCCGTCGGGGCAGGTTTGGAGATGGCCATGACCACTCGGTCTTGGGCAGCTTCTGGTTGAGTTGGTTCTATTGTCGAGTCGATGCCGAAGAGCTCCAGGAGTTCCTCGACGACGTGGAGCTAGACTGACGTGGGGCAGACGTGGTCGGGTCCCCAACGCTCGCCGCATTTGAAACAAAGGCCACACGCTCTTCGGTAGTCGCGCAGAGCCTTGAGCTTGGAGGTGTCGGCTCGCGCGCGCCGGTGGGGAAGGTAGCGGTAGCAGTACACTGAGCCGCGACGACTCGTCGGGAGGACACGTTGGTGTGGGGCGGTGCGCAGCGTTGTCGGCCACCTCCTCCTGGAGCAGCGCCAGAGCGCACGCCGTTTCCAGGTCTGGCGGCCGCTGGACCATGACCACCGCACGGATATCCACCCGCAATCCTTCCACAAAGCGTGTGAGAAAATAAAATGGGTGAATCGAGTCTGAATAAGAACTTAAATGATTAATGATCAACTCAAAACACTCAATAAAATCAGCCACTGTAGATGTTTGTTTAATAGTGTAAAATTGACGGATGAGAAGTTGATGGCGATCACGACCGAATCGTGTAGTTAACAGTGCAGAAAAGGATTCCCAATCGAAGCTATTGAGCTTCTTTTGGACAGACTGTAACCAAATGGGCGCAGCCCCTGAGAAATTGAGGGCGGCCATGGGAACCCAGAAAGTTTTGTAAATGCCGAACATGGAAAAAAACTGCTCGCACATCGTCTTCCACATGTTCGGGTTCTCGCTCGAGAACTGAGAAAACGAAATGGAAGGATGGGCTTGTCCCAAACCAGCAAGCATCTAACTAGCATGCGCAAAAGGAGAAGACAATAGTTCGATCTAACTGTTGGCCGGGAGTGGCGGTGGCGTCTGGAACGACACCGTCGGCCTCCCCCGTTGCAAGTTGAAGTCGCCGTGGTCCTTAGACCCTTGAGGATCGTCCTCATCGCCTCCCGCCAGGCCCAGGTTGTTGTTGGGCATCGCGGGCAGTGGCGCCGTGGTGCGTAGCGGCGGCACGCCCTCACTGGTGTCGGTGGTGGGGTTCGGGCGCGCCTGCTGCAGAGTGGTGACCGCGTCGCTCAGATCAGAGACGCGTTGCTCCAGATCCGGTCGCCAGGTGAAGTCATCGTCGAGGCGGGTGGTGACCGCGGTGTTGGCCTCCATCATCGCCGTGAGCTTGTCGAGGTAGGCTTTTGCAGCTGGATCCATGGTTTCGATGATGTGGCAACCGTGGCGAATCCCTCGAGTCTCGATGAGATGAGCCAGATCGGGCGAAGTTGAGTGTGGTGTTTGGCGTCTGATACTAGATGTTAGGGACAAGCAAGGGAGGAATCGATCTAATCTTTCTCTTGGGTGGCAATAGTCTGGTACAAGCTTGATTACAAGAATGGATCGATCCAGGAGGAACTAGCGTTCGTGCCGCCGTCAGGTTCGTGATCCACTGGATGCCGAAGAGGGGAGGGGGTTGGTGCCTTAAGTAGTGGATGTAGTCGGGCCAGGCTGGTTGTGCCACTCTGGGCCGAAGAAACGCTGGTTGCTGCGTCGGGTGCAATTGGGCCGCGCCCGCGTTTTGTTGGCAGGTGGGGTCGTGTCGTCAGGGGCGTTAATACCTGTTTCCTCGTTGTGGCGGGTCAAAGAACAGTTGCAACAATCATGTCGTTTTTTGCTGCAACGATTTATTCGGTAGAGCCTCACGTGCAGATCGACGATCCACACTAACCGCATCGGACGGCTGGGGCTCGACCGGCGCTGGCGCAGATCGCTGCCCTAAATAATTAGGATAAAATAAATGCGAGCATATCTGTGAACGGACAACGGCCAGCCGAAAAGATCTGTACGACACTCCGATAGGGAGGCTACTAGCCTCCTAGGCTGGTTGATCGTGTCGTTGTTCGTCCTCGTTGCATGTTGCATCCTTCACTTTACTTTTGCACTCCCACCCCTCCATGCCCTCGAAATTGGCGCCACCTCCCTCCCGTGCTCGCCCCTCGCCTGGGCTCTCGACCCATCCCTGCTCGAACCCTAACCTCAGATGGCGCTTCCCGCGTGAGAGGACGCTGCCGCGGCAGCAGCGTTGAGGGGGGCTTCGTCGTAGTCAGCGCGACAGATGTATAAGCAGGGGGCGGCCGGAGGTGCGGGGCCGGACCGGAAGCGCATCAGCGACGCGCTCGATAAGCACCTGGAGAAGGCGGCCGCGTCGCCCTCCACGTCGAGAGGCTCGGCGGGTGCCCGAGGCAACCACAACCGCGTCGTAGTGCCGTCCTCCATCCCCAAGGGCCGCTGCTCCGAAGGTGACGCGATCTCCCCTCTCCCAACACATGAAGTTCCGTGGTCTGATAATCCGTCGTGTTGCGAGGCGTTCGTGGGGTCTGGAGTTACGTTCCTGGGCTGCGAAGGGCAGCATGCGTTCTACTAGGATAAAATTTGGCTATGGATTGGGGTTCCATCTTCATTTGCCTGCTGACGTGCCATTGCTTTGCGGATTTGAGCGCCTGTGGCAGATATTTTGTTGTTGTTGTTGTTTACGTTGAATGTTAGTGGCAAGTGTGTTGGTGTGCTTTTGGAATGGACCACCGGCATCTGGCTTTTTGGTACCTGTGAAGGTGTTAGAGATTTGTTATATATTTTGGAATGTTAGGATAAGCTTCCAAGATGTTTTTTTTAACATGTCGGGTGGGTTTGGGGGGATCCCCACCTGAATATTGATCTCTATTCAATGAAATGGAGCTGGTTTATACGGGAAACCTGTTCAAAAACCTTGATCCAGCTTATGTGGAAAACCGGATCGAAAACCAAACCGAGTGGCAAGTACATCCTGCCAAGGCAAGAAACAGAAAAACTCAAAAGAATCCAATTACCATTTACAACAGAACGCAAGGGTCAACTACCTAAGCATGTAGGAGGTAGGGTGATGCAGCAGTGGTTGGGTGATGGCCGAGTGGAGCAGACGTCCACCACCGACCGAACCAGGATGGCGAGGGCCAACGCGAGGGTGGCCTTCGCAGCCCTCCAATCGTGTGAGCAGGCGCCAGGTGGCTTGGCATCGGCAGGCACGTTGGGCGATGACAGATCTAGCGACGATGCCGGTGGCACATGCCTCGCCTGCAACAGGGGAGCGCGCAAGCAGGGACTGTCGTGTGGCATGGATCTGAGGGAGGGCTGGCGCACCGGGCGGCGCCGACGTTAGGCAGGGGAGAGGACGTGAGGCGCAGGAGGGAGAAGTGGAGCGTCGTGCGGCAACAGACGCGCCGTGGTTCCATCGCGAGGATGTGATACGGGTCGGCTTGGGGGCATGACCCCTAGATCCTGCGACAGGCCGAGTGAGGCAGTCAGCTGTCGTGATGAGAGGCGGAGCCCCAGGACGAGGCAGCCAAGCCATCGGCGGTCCGAGCAGAACAAGCATGGGGGCGCGAGGAGGCAGAAGTCAAGCGTCACACAGGAGCGCAAGGTGGCTGTAGTCGAGCACCGCACGGGGCTGCGATATGGAGGAGAGAACGCGCTGCAGTCTCCGGCGAGGAAGCAGCAGCTCTGCCCGGACCAG